GCCATCACTCTGCATAAAGGGGTGAGGGGGTAGGGACACACCCCCATCTGGGAGTGGATATGGCCAGTTGGGCAGGAAGCTGAAGATTTGGGGGTTTAAGGAAGGACACTTTCTTCCAGGGAACATATTTTGGATGACCAGATAGGAATTATGGTCAAGTAAAACAAAACAAAAAACATTTAGAGATGAAAATTGTGTGCCCTCTGCTTGGGAAGATTAATTCAGTGTTACACCTGCCCCCTCATTCTGCAGGATGTCTTTAATTTCTCACTGGTTTGGAGATGGCCACATATGTGTTTCCTGAAGCTCTTCTCGGGAGCACCCTGTCCTTGAGACAGTGCTGCAACCTCAGCCTTTGCCTGGAAGCCCATGTGAGTGCATTTACGTTCCAGCCAAATGACAGTCATTCCCATGGCTCAGGATCACTTTTACAGTCTGTGCTTCTGGATAATTTGCCCTTTGAAACAACTTCCATTTTAAAATGGAATGTTTTGGTTCCTTGATGTTAGTGGTGGTAGATTCTTTTACTCCTTTGGTTGTTCGGTAGGTGTTAAGTCAAATAGGGAAGCCCCAGGAGGCATATTTGTGAAGGGAGCAGAACAGATGGTGAGTAACTCCCTCTTGACTGGCACTTCCTTTTTATGATGCACTTTGAAATGCCACCTGTTCCTGATATATCTTTTCTCTCCCTGATGGGGATAGGTGGGGGAAGAGGTTGGGGCCCTCCTCAGCAATTTCTCTGACTGTCACAGTCTTAAGGTAGAAGTGAGACGCAAGTGTTAAAACAACCAACTGGTGATAACGGCCTCACCCAGGCACAAAGCAGAGTATAAGTGGGTCAAAGGTGAGAGGCAGATGGTGGGATGTTGCAACAAGCCTATTAGAAGCAACACTAGTGGGGCATCTGGGTGGCTCAGTCGGTTGAATGTCCAACTCTTGATCCCAGGGCTGTGGGATCGAGCACCGCATTGGGCTCTGCCCTGAGCATAGAGCCTGCTTAAGTTTCTCTCTCTCTGCCTCTCTCCCCCACTTGTGTGCTCTCGCTCTCTCTCTCTCTCTTTCAAACAAACAAACAAACAAACAAACAAACAAACAAACAAACAAAAAACAACAGTAATGCCATTTCTGCTGTAAGGTCATATTATCTCAACACATAATTCTTTCCCTACAGTTCTTTTGAGTCTGGAACCCCCTATGCCCTTTCTAACCTTTTCATTGGTTTGGTCTTATTTCTTTATCCCCATGTAACTCAATGTTTAGTGGGCAAGAATTTTTACCCCCACTTTCAGATGTGGAAGCTATGGCTCAGACAGGATAAACTGATCTGTCAAGATCATTGGCAAATTGATAATAGAGGACAGGTAATAGAGTGAGGTCTGGGTATCCACAGGCCTGAAGAAAGGCTTGTGATGCTATCAGAGGCTGTCCTGGGGCTGCTTGACCCAAGCTCTAGGAGGCCTGTCTGTGCCACAGGGTCAAAGCCCAGGCATCTGACCTGTGAGTCAGGCCACAGATAGCACACAGTCCCTACAGGCACTGGGAAAGCCCCAGGGCCAGATGTTCCCTGAGGGCTCTCTTTTCTGCTTTCTCTGCTCTGGTGAGCATGTAGGCCTGTGACTCTCCAGCCAGGCTCTGCCTTCCTTTCCAGGTTCAGTCCTTGCCCTGACGGGTCTCTGAGGCAGATCCAAGGTCCACTACAGAGACTGACACTTTCTGGGGACACAGTGTCCTGGGAGGGGGTGGCTCACAGGTACAGAAACACGTGCCTTGGGATTTAACTGCTTCCTGGGGCATGGATGCTTGTTAAAATAGACCAGACTTTCTGGACAAAAGGCAGTGGCCCCATGAGGGAGGCATTATAGAGGCTGAAGGACAGCTTCGGTGATGACAGAGAAAACATAACCTATTTCCCCAATTATTCCTGTCAACGAGGATCATAAACGCTTTTAAGGCAAAATAGAAACTGATGGTGGTAGATACTAAATGAGCTGGGATGACTGACTGGACCAGTGGGGCTGGTGTGCAGAGGTGATCAGGTGACCAATGGGTCCCTGGAGACAAGTAGGGGAATGGAGTGGCTTAGAGATCCCCTTTGGGCAGAGAAGAGGGAGGTGTTGTTGCTGGGGCTGAGTCTCCTCCCCCACCCCCAGCAGGCAGAAGGTATCAGAGGGCAGAGGAGTATAAGCTGGGAGGTCTGAGCCAAGAGCAGCCTTCCAGAGGAGTCTGGGAGAGTTTGGGTGTATCCCTTCTTCCTGGAAAGAGAAAAAAAAAAACAACCAAAAAACAAACTTTAAAATAATAAACCTATCAGGGCACCTGGGTGGCTCAGTTGGTTAAGCATCTGACTCTTGATCTCAGCTCGGGTCTTGATCACATGGTTGTGAGTTCAATCAAGATTACATGAAATCCACTGTTTTGTTGGACATAATAGTTGGTGCCCCACCCATGTTCATTTTCACCAGACCCACTACTATGGGGCTAACCATGTACCCCACCTGTATTACTGTGTATCCATAGTTGTAAAATCTCCGATAATTGGCCCCATTGTGTTCATGTCTGCCTGTGGTTGGTGGTGTGGCAGTCTGTGCAAGATTTGACTGCCTGCTGGGTAGTGACTCCTAGGACTGGCTTGGAGCTGAGTGCCTGTCATGTCAGTGCTCTGGGAACTCCTCTTTTCTACCACAGTCTCTGTATTTCTCTTGCTTTTGAGAGTCTCTGTTTTTGGCCTTTTCACCCACCATCACACTGTTGGCAGCTGTTTCCCGGTTACTGGTTGCCTGTGGGTCTGGTTGCCACAGTAACCTCCAATGGTGCAGCTGGACAGGCTTGAACAAAGGCAGTCCTAGGAGGGTAAGGGTAGAAGATGTGGGATTCAGGGCCCTAGTATTCTTTCTCTAGGGTACCCTTCTTTGGCCAGCTCAGCTAGGCATTCATGAAGGCCCTTGAGACTCCACTTACTACAGAAGGGCTTCTTGGAAGGTGCAGGGATGGATCCCTGCTCTTGGACCAGGTGTTAGGGGAGGGGAGCCAAGTAGGGCCTCGAAGCTGGCTGGCTGTCCTTCTCTCTCTCAGGCTGGTTTGGAACAGCTATGGGTTTCCTGCTTTCTGTTGCTGTCGTTCCTTCCAGTTCCAAAGATGCCCTTTGAATGTCCCGTTTGCTGGATAGATGGTGAAGCTTTGGTGCATCTGAGAGCAAACCGACCTGCTCCTGGCAGAGGCTGATGGAAGTTCCTTGGTGTGACTGGGAGAGCCTACCCACACCCAGCTCTGTCATCAGCCCTGGAGTAGCCTTCCTCTATCTTATTTTGTAATTGAGGTCAGAGTCCTAACTGTACAGGCACCTGTCCCCCTTTAAAACATATAAAACCTGAAGAATGAGCAAACTAGGGAGTGGAGTTATGAATTCGCCTTTCCAAAGGGTTGGTTGTAGGATTGTTTGAAGCAGGCAGATCCTCAGGCGTGGTGGTGCAGTGGGAGTCACACCCAGGTTTTCTGGGTATGTTCTGACTCCTGGAAAACTTGGAAGGGTCGGTTTACTCAAGAGCAGAGAAGAGTTGGGGAACCCTGCCCCTTTAGCTTCTTACTGCCTATCCTTAGTGCAGTGTTCATATACTGAGATCAGAAACACAGCTTTGAAGAAAAGTATCCTAGTTCTGAGATGGGTCAGAACAGTTTCACTGGCTTTGCTTGGTGTGTGGAAACCATTCATTCATTCATTCATTCATTCAGTAAATCTCTAAAGAGTGTGCAGTAAGGACCAGCAGGAAACAAGTTGGATACTATCCCTCCTCTCACAAAGTAGAGGGTCCAAGACTCTTTCTAGGGGTCCAGGAACATAACCAGGGAGACACTGCTATTTGGAATCACAGGCCTACCTGGCCTAGAGCGTGGGTGGCTTCTATACCAGTGGGGATCGGTTGCTCTTATTTCCAGAAGCTCAGTTCCCAGCAGCACTGAGCTCCTGGGTGTGTGCCAAGCCAATATGAGAGGTCTTAGTGCTGATTTTAATTAATACTAGGTAATTACCAGGTGGAGCTTAACCATCCTAAATGCCTTTGAGGTTCCCAAGCCTACAGCTAGTCACTTTCTGGCTGGGCCCAGCGACGAGAGGCAGGACTCTGTCCTATGCCTACCCAGCCTTTTGTCAGCATTGTGACCCAGGGCAGTCACCTTTTTCTATTCCCTTCCAATCTGGTGTGGGTGAAGGGGGCAACTTGGGAAATAGCCTAGCCTCTCCAATTCACCTATGCCCCCTCCCTAGGGGCAAAGGATAACAGTGCCTTGTGGTCTGCTCAACACCATCAGTGTGAGTCCAGGGTGGAGTGTGGGAAGAGAAGAGGTGCGCAGGCCTAGTCCTGGGAATCTTGGTGGGAATGCTCAAGAGGAGGAACAGGCATAGAGGTTGTTCCTGCCCTGGGCCTTATTCCAGTTTCTCCAAGTTTGGCTTAGTGACTCTTCCAGGCTTATTTCTCTGCCTGTGGCTCCCAAATTACTGTATCACTGAAACTCCTACTATCTACAAGGCCTTCCCCGTTTGACATTTTGCAGATCTCTTGCCAGACTTCCGAGGGTCTTGTGGTCATGCCACCATTCCACCCAGTGACCAGGGTGGTCCTAACTTTTTACCAGGCCTCCGAGTCAGCTTGAATGTCACCTCCTAAAGTGGGCCCTCTTGCTCTCCACCACAGCTGGAACCACACTGAGGTTTTAATGTATGTGCCTGCGTCTGGCTCTCTGGCTGTAGGCTGTGTCCGTGGAGCCTACCAGGTGTTGGCAAACAGGAGGCTCTTAGCGAGTGTTGAAACAATACATGAAAGGTCTTAGGGACTAGGTGAAAAGCACTGACGACTCCCTTTGGCGGGTAGACCACTCATTACCGCGACTCGATCTCGACCTCGGACGGCTCTGGGCCAGCGTGCTGCCCAGCGGCGCACGCGCACTGAGGGCCGGCGGGCGGCGGGGGCGCGCACGCCCGCGGCCGCGTGCGTCACAACCCGGGCTCCTGCCCCGCCCGTCCCGCCTGCCCGCCTGTCGGTCCCCGAGGCGGCGGCGGCTGCCCAGTGACAGCGGCGGCGGCGCCAGGCCAGCCGTAGTAGCGTAGGGTCGTGCGGCCTGGAGACGCACACCCGGCAGAAGGGCGGCGCGAGGAAGGCCGGAGCCGGGTCGCGCGGGAGGAGACCTTGCGGGCACCAGGCGAGAGGCCGGCGTGAGGGAGCGCGGAGCTAGTGGCCGCCGGCGGCCCGGACCCGCCTGTCCTCGCGGCCGCCGCCGGCATGAGCCACATCCAGATCCCGCCGGGGCTCACGGAGCTGCTGCAGGGCTACACGGTGGAGGTGCTGCGGCAGCAGCCGCCCGACCTCGTCGACTTCGCGGTGGACTACTTCACCCGCCTGCGCGAGGCCCGCTTGCAAGCCGCCAGCCCGCCCGCTGCCCCTCCTTCCGGCTCCCAGGCTCTAGAGCCCGGCCCTGGCCTGGTCACCGACGCGAAGGCGGAGAGCGAGTCGGAGGACGACGAGGACTTGGATGGTAGGCGGCGGGCTGGGCCGACGTTCGCGGTGGGGGGACGGAGGGGGCGGTGCAGGGGTCTCCAGCGATCTAGAGGGGCCGCGGGGGCCGAGCACACTGGGCTGGGACCTTGGAGCTCTCCAGCAGAGTTTGCCCGGGTTTCCCGAGCCGCGGGCGTGAGCCCCGCGTGCTCCACTTCCCAGCTGCGCTCCACGGTCCTCTGAGCCCCGAGCGCACCGAGTGAGTTGTCAGATTCAGCCTGGGAGCAAATGTGCGCGCCTTCGGCCCGCGTGGTGGCGCGGAGCCCACGTCGGCCTCGCCTCTACTGGGGGACTCTTCGCCGGGTTTCGTGCCGAAGACAAGGACGCTCACATCCACCGACTCGCTCGTGTTCAATAACCGGGATGGTAACTTTGGAAATAATTCGTTTTGTGAAAAGTTATGGTGAAAACTAAGCATAGACAAAAGTAGACAGATAAAGGGTGAAATGAACCCCTGTATGCCACAATCCATATTCAACAGTTTAAATATCTGTCACAAACGTTTCATTTCTACTTTTTTTTTTTTTTTTTTTTCTTTGCTGAAGTATTTTCAAGCAAATACCAGTCGGGTCATTTCGCCTCTGCATAACTGGACATGCATTTCTTAAAATATTCTTAGTATTTCTTAAAATTTCTGAAAATATTTATTAAAATATATGTAGTATATATTTAAACTTGAGTAAAACGATTGGATCACATTTGGTGAGGGTAAACGATAATTATCTTGTTTAGCATATAGGGTGTAGGAAAAAAGACAACTCTTTTCTATATCTGGTTTAAGCAAGGCTGTCAAAAAGCAATTCCATTTTCCGTGGTTGCTTTAACCTAAGCTTGGTCAGTTTAACAGTAGAATAATCCTAGTTTTGAACCGCCAAAATTTAACAAAACAATGAAAACAGAGACCAAGCTAGAGACTTTAGTGTTATTAGAGCATACTGGAAAAAAACAAAACAAAACAAAACTAGTTCTGAGTTGAATCCACATTCAGGTCACACTAACAAGGAGTTAATTATCGGTCATTGCTGTTGGAGGTCGTAAGCTTCAGTGTTGTGGACAACTTCCCATAGTTTATTCACCATTAAGAGTAGAAATGGTTCTTCTGTGTTTCTTTGACATTGCATATTAAATTATGAGGTTTTTGCCTAAAGTCTTGAAATCAAGTTGTTATTTTCCAAATCTCCTGCACAGATTTGCTTTGTACAGAATTTGTACAGATTTGCTTTGCACAGAAGTGGTCAGACCTGTTTGATTTCAGATTCACTTTAAAATGGGGACAGTGACAATGATCTCCCAGGGATAAATGTGTCTTTAAAAGTTTTATTTCAGGAGTGTCTGCTATGTTTGTTTCATTGACACATATATAAATCACAAAGCTGTAACCTGCTTTGTGAAATTTTTATGTATACACGTTAGTATTTTAGAAATTAGTCCCAGATGAGTGAAACAGTTTACAAGTTTTGTGTTATCTTTGTCATCTTTGATATCTTTTTTAAAAATTGAGTTGACTTAAATCTTTGTGATTCTGTGCTTTATTTTACTAACATGTAAATATTTGTTATTTATATTTCTAAAGTGGCTGTGCTACGTATAATTATAGAAATCAACACAAGGTGAACTTTTATTTACAGATAATAGACTAAAAATACATTGCACACAATGAGATACCACTTCACACCCATGAGGATGGGTATTATGAAAAAAAATAGCAAGTGTTGATGAGAATGTAGAGAAGTGGGAGCCCTTGTTCATTACTGGTGGGAATGTAAAATGGTCTGGCTGTTGTGGAAAACAGTTTGGTGGTTCCTCAAAAAGTTAAACATAGAATTACCGTATGATCGAGCAATTTCACTGCTCTGTATATATTCCAGGAAATTGAAAGCAGGGAGCCAAACATATGGTTACATGCCAGTGTTCACTGCAGCATTATTCACAATATCCAAAAGGTAGAAACAACCCCTGTCCTATTAGAAGATGAATGGATAAGTAAATTGTGGTATATACATAGAATGAAATACTATTCATCCTTTAATAAGAATGAAATTCTGATACATGCTACAACATGGATGAACCTTGGAAACATTATGCTACTGCAATGTGCCAGACACAAAAAGACAAATATTTTATGATTCCACTTATATGAGGTACCTAAAATAGGTAAATTCAGAGAGATATAAAGTAGAATACAGGTTAACTGGCAGCTGGAGGTTGCTGGTAATGGGGTGTTATTGTTTAATGGGTGTTGAGTTTCTGTTCGGGATGATAAAGTTCTGAAATTGGATAGGGGTGATGGTTGCACAACACTGTGAATGTACTTAATGCTGTGAGTTGTACACTTAAATGTGTAAAATGGTAAATTTTATGCTATGTATATTTTACCACAATTTTTTAAATGTTTATTTTGAGAGAGAGTGAGCTAGCAGGGGAGGGGCAGAGAGAGAGAGGGAGAGAGAGAGAATCCTGAGCAGGCTCCGCACTGTCAGTGCAGAGCCCTACTTGGGGCTCTGTCTCACCAACTGTGAGCTCATGACTTGAACCAAAATCAAGAGCCAGATGCTTAACCGACTGAGCCACCCAGGTGCCCCTACCACAATTTTTAAAAAGACAAGAAAAGAAATACATATCCAGTGATTAGGAACATTAGGGCAATAAGCCTATAATACTTAAAATAAGAAATAGGATATGTAGTGTTAGATATGTATATAACAAAGAGATTTTGTTTAGTATGGCTAACCACCAATTCAGTTTATAAAATTATATGCTATTTGAAACACTCTTTTAATAACAGTTTTGATATCAAATAGCACATTAAGTATGAAGTATTATAATGAATATTTAACTCTTGGGAAAACCTGAAGAGTTCGGATTTATTTTTTAATTTTTTAAAAATTTATTTATTTTGAGAGAGAGAGAGAGCAAGCGCGTGCATGTGCGCGCCTGGGGGAGGGGCAGAGAAAGAAGGAGAGAGAATCCCCAGCAGGCTCCAGTGCTACCAGCGCAGAGCCTGATGTGGGGCCTGAACCCACAAAACTGTGAGATCATGACCTGAACAGAAACCAAGAGTTGGATGTTTAATCGACTGAGCCCACCAGGTGCCCCAAGAGTTTAGATTTATTAATATGTTTCTGTAACTGCATCCTCATGAGGACAATAATTGGTATCCAGACTTGGTTCACTTCTATAATTATCATAAAACATACACCTGTGGGTCTCCCAGCATATATATATACATATATATATATATATATATATATATATATATATATATATACATATATATATACACACACACATAAATATTATATTGTATTATATCATATTATATCATATTATATTAGTAGTATATTTATGTGTTATATATATATTTGGTAACAGCTTTGTGGAATATAATTCACATACTATACAATTCACCCATTTAAAGTGTATAGTTCAGTGGTTTTATTATATTCAGAGATATGTGCAACCATCACCACAGTTAGTTTTAGAACAGTTTTTGTCACCCCAAAAAGAACCCCATACACTTTAGCCATCAACTGCCAACACCTCCATTCCCCTCTCATCTGTTTTCTGTCTCTATAGATTTGCCTGTCCTGGACATTTCATATTAATGGAATCATGCAGTATATGGTCTTTTGCCATTCATATGAAATGTCCAGGATAGGCAAATCTATAGAGACAGAAAGCAGATGAGAGGGGAATGGAGGTGTTGGCAGTTGATGGCTAAAGTGTATGAGGTTCTTTTTGGGGTGACAAAAACTGTTCTAAGACTTCTTTCACATGGCATAATGTTTTTAAAGTTCATCAGTGTTGTTGCATAAATTAATGTGTCACTCCTTTTTATTACTGAATGTTCTATTGTATGGATATACCACATTATTTTATCCATCAGTTGATGGGCATTTAGGTTGTTTTCACTTTTTAGCTTTTATGAATAATGTTGCTATGAATATTTCATATGTACAAGTTTTCGTGTGGACGCATGTTTTTCTCTTTGAGATGTATACCTTGGAGTAGAATTGTTTGATCATACGGTAACTCTTTGTTTAACCTTTTGAGGAACTGCCAGATTGTTTTCCAAAGTGGCTGCACCATTTTACATTCTAACCAGCAGTGTATTAAGGGTTCTAATTCCTTCATGTCCTTGTTAACACTTATAGTCTTCTTTATAATTGAAAAAAATTTTTTGTGTGTTTATTTACTTTTCAGAGACAGAGTGTGAGCAGGGGAGGGTCAGAGAGAGAGGGAGACACAGAATCCAAAGCAGGCTTCAGGCTCTGAGCTGTCTGCACGGAGCCTGACATGGGGCTCGAACCCACGAACTGTGAGATCATGAGCTGAGCCGAAGTCAGACCTAACTGACTGAGCCACCCAGGTGCCCCTACAGTCTTCTTTATAACAGCCATCCACATGGATGGAAAGTAATACCTCATTGTAGTTTTGCTTTGCAGTTCCTTAAGTGATGTTGAGCGTCTTTTCAAATGGTTCTTGGTCATTTGTGTATCTTTTTTTTGAGAAATGTCTATTCAGGTCCTTTGTCCATTTTTTAATTGTTGTTTTTTTTTTAATTTTTGAGTTGTGAGAGGTCTTTATGTATTGTAAACAAGTCCTTTATCAGATGTATGACTTACAAATATTTTCTCTCATTTAGTGAGTTTTTTCAATTTTTGATATTGTTTTGAAGCAGAAAAGTTTTTTATTTATTTATTTATTTATTTATTTAAAATTTTTTTTTTAATTTTTTTTTTCAACGTTTATTTATTTTTGGGACAGAGAGAGACAGAGCATGAACGGGGAAGGGGAAGAGAGAGAGGGAGACACAGAATCGGAAGCAGGCTCCAGGCTCTGAGCCATCAGCCCAGAGCCTGACGCGGGGCTCGAACTCCCGGACCGCGAGATCATGACCTGGCTGAAGTCAGACGCTTAACCGACTGCGCCACCCAGGCGCCCCAGAAAAGTTTTTTATTTTGATGAAGTCTAATGTAT